AGCAATATCATTTTCTAATTACGCAATAATGAAACTCTTCATTACCACATTATGGGTAATGATGCTGTGATGGTAATGGAATTAGCTTATTGGACTGTAGATGTAAATGTTTCTCATTGTAACATTATTTTCCTTTGCATTGTTACACTTGTAGCAGTAAAACCACACTAGGCAGAATATTACAGTAACAAGTCCAAACATTTATCAGAGGAAGGTAACTAAGTGGTAGTAAACGATGATTTACTGGTAGTTTTGCTGACTCATATCACTGTATTCACGCAAAACAAGTCAAATCTGGTGAAACATGCACTCGTGTTTCAGGTCCAGCTTAATCTAAACCAAGTTGTTAGTCATCTCTTTTTAACCATGCTCTCTCAGATACTCAATCTCCTGATGCTCCTCACTGTGTGCATCCTCCCACTGATCTGCTGTTATTGATCCAGTGCTGATTGATTTTCTCTTAGCCGTTACGTCGCTTCCTGTCAACTCACACACCCTCAGCACAGGCTCTTCTCATTTCCAGTCAGATTTCAGTTTTCATTCTCAGTTAGATTCTTCAGTTTATTGAAACCAAAATAAGGATATTTCTTTTACAAGTTTGCACAAATTTGCATTATTAATTTTTAGTTGACTAAAATCCTCCTTTAGTCGTGAAACAGCTTGTGCAGCTCATAATGATTCGCTTTAAGACTGTAGTTTGCAGCAATCCTAGTTAGTAGCAGGTTTTTCATTGTAGTCACCATATGTTCATTTTGACATATAAAAATGTGAAGAGAATCCAAAACAATAAACAAAGTAAAGAGAATACATTACCAACGTAGATTTATTTAAAACACTATCTTTAAAATACAGTGCAAAAAGTATAAAATGACTATTCAGCACAGAATAAAGAGCTACAAACAAAATAGCAATCCAGTGGCGCGATAACCTTTTAACTCCTGACAAAACTGGTAAGAAGATAGATTAGAGAATGCCAGCAAAAGGATAAGGTTTTCATATTTTCAAGTATTTCTGACGAAGCTTATTCAAATTTCAATTTCAGATTCACAGTGTTATTTTCTTTTGCCATCCCTTTGACATCATTTTTTGAATCTTAAAGTCCCTTCCTCTTTAACATGCTACACATGCTTCACATCCAAACACACATCTGCAGTAAAAGCTGACATACAGCAGGGTCCGAGTGCCCCCATCCCCCACCTGGGCCCTGCTAGCCATCACTTGTCTTGAATGACAGCTGCTGGAAGGACTGTACTGCCAGGCTCAGCCCATGGAGAGATTAAAGTCAGCAGGGAAAGAGGATTTAGTCTCCACTGTTCTCTCTCTCTTTCTCTCTCTCTCTCTCTCCTGACTTTATCTCCTGCCTTCTTGTCTCTTCTTCATCTGCTTTCCATGCCGTTTCTGTCTATAAATATGTCGCCTGTATTACTGTATATTATGAAAGACTTGAGTTGAAATGTTTTCTATTAACTTACATAAAAGTCTGTTTCTTCATCACTATCTGACAAATATGCACAGAAGTGAGTCCACTTGTGGCTGAACGCAGCTGGTGTTGTCTTGTTCTTGGAAACTGGGCCAGATATGGAGCAGGGATGAGCAACAAACCCAAGCACAACAGCAGATAGAGTCAAAGAGACACTAGAGACACTAAAAGGGCAAACAATGAATTATTGATCGAAATATTAATAGCATTAATCCTAAAAGCTGTAGAACTGAAAAATTTAAACTGGTTTGGCAACAGTCTTCAGAACAAAAATATAACCCCTCAGTAAAAAAAAGAAAAAAAAAAAAGACAATTGATAGAGAAGAGAAACGAGCCAAGGAGCCAAAAGAACGATTCCATGGTAGTTTTATTTCAGATCAAAGTCTCATCTACAGTTCCAAATTTAGCGTGCAGTTTTGTTGTCTCTCCTTGTGAATTTGGGTAAAAGAGTTCATTTTCACATGCATTATTATTTACACCTGACTCTGCCAGGCAAATACTTTATTACTACCAGCTTGTTATGCACAGAATCTTTAAGAAGACTCTTAAAAGCAAAGCAGAGGTTGGATTGATTGAGCCTGCCAACCTGGTTGACCAGCATGTAAACAGACAAAGCAAACAATTACCCTTAAATAGGTGTGTTGAAAGGCACATTGAAATGGCCTTACAGTCCTAGTGTGTGATAAAACCTCAACTATGTTCTAAATTGATGGATTTATTCATTTTAAACTCCATTTTATTGCCTATAAACAAGGGACAATAAAAATGGATTTTTTACTGAAATGCATCACTGTCTGAAACCAGAGATTGTTTCAAGTCTTTTCCATAAAGCAATTACGGTTACTACAGCTAGTTGACATAATGAAATGCATAAATTATAGTAATTTTTGTACGTAAATAGTGTTATCTGATACATGATTTATTATTATTATTATTATTATTATTATTATTATTATTATTATTAATTTACCATTTTTACATTTCTGAAACTTTTTAAGAAAAGTTACAACTGTCTAACTTCACATTGCTGTCTGCAGCCGGGTGTGAAACAAACATCAGTTGTGTCCGGCTCCTGCTGCACAGTTAAGAGTCAGTGTTTGGATGAAAATAACCAGGCCCTTGTTAACTGGGATCATGTGAACTCTATTTCAAACATAAACCGTTCAGAGTGTTTCCACACGTCAACATAACTAGAAAAAAAAAAATGCAAACTGTGAATTCTTTTCTTTGTAAACCCTCCGAAAAATCATTTTCAAGCTGTATTTATCCGTATTGATCTACAGAGTAGCTGCAACTGCAGCTGACTCCACCTGCAGCTCGGCAGGGATGCAGGACTGGAAGGATGAAAGGAGCCATGTTAATTATCCCTAGCTAAAGCAGAATGTAATTCTGTCATGATAAACTGACTCGCCTCTGCAATGAAAAGGCTGCTATCAATCAGGAAGCGTGTTCATCCCAGATAAACAGTGTTTGTGAAGGAAATGGGACATCAGGACAGTGTGGCTGCTCTGAATCTCACAGTGACGGAAACCAGGTCAGGTTTTCAGTTGTTTGGCTGCATGTTTCTCATGGGTCTACAGAGGCGCTAACCTAAATCTGGTGACTTTTAGGGAAGCTGCTTCATGCTTGTCTGTTTCTACAGATCTTTTCCAGGTGCAGAGAGAAATGAGTCGGAAAGCATGGCGTGAGTTGAAATTAGTATTTGCTTTTTCTGGTACTGCTTTCTTAGTCTAACTGCATGTAAATTTATTTCTAGCACAATTGCATGGCACAGAGTGAACTAACGCAACTGGCTTTGTGAAAAGGGAAACTTTGCTGTGACATCGTGAAAGAGAAATAAAAGAAGTGGATAAGACATAAATGTAGTATTTAAGTTTTAAGAAGCAACTGTATTATTTATTTGAACAATCTTTGGCCTGCTGTGTGTACAGCAGGCCAATTACCTCGTAATTTATGGGAAAGAAAATGTACAGTAACGAATTAAAACTGACAACCTGTGAATGTAAAATTGAATAGACAGCTTTTCCTAACTTCTCCTCTGTGTTCCCTTAAGTGAAAGTCACATTGTCCACAGACTCACCATGTCAGGCTATTAATAACAAGGGTTCTGTGAAGGGTAATGCCTCTGCACAAAGACACTGGGTGGGACCAGCAACTTAACACAACACAGGAGTCTTTTGGTTTATTATTTTTTAAATAAAACTGAGCCAACATTAGCAGTGATTTGTTTATTCCAAATTGTTCTGATGGTGCATGTATGATGGTTTGTACTGAATTGTTAAAGAAATATGCTGATATAATGATTATACAATCTAAAAATAGAAAAGTGACATCCATGACATGGAAACATTTGATTGGTGTTATCACAAACCAGGCTTGAGGTTTCTTTTACTTTGTCTCTTAGCTTAAAAGCTCCTCTTTACTTTTGAGCACTACTTTAGGTTGATCCTGATAAACAGCAAAAAACCGTATGGTTATAATGTAAAAAAATTGAAAATGTTCAAGGTGTGTGAATAATTTTCATCATATAAACCAACATCAACATTTTACAGTTTCACCATTTCCCAGATTTCCATGTTAGATAAACAGCAGTAAATCACTTTGAGTACTAAAAACTCTTAAATACCTTTGTGAAAAACAACTAGTGATGATCCCAATCTCTGAGAAAATTTCAACCACATGTATCTGATATTGCTGTATGAAATGCTTATATTACAGCAACTTTGATCTTTAAAAAAAAAACAAAAAAAAAACAGACATATTGTTCCTTTTACCATCATAATATATTTTCAAAATTGCCATTGGTAGGTTACACCATCAATCCTACTTCAAACTGATTACATTGTCCAAACCAAATAAACACACACAGAATATAACTCAATAACTGTCTCCATTCAAATACACACTTCACATACTTCACTTACTCTTTGTTACAACACCAACATGTTCAACACTATAACAATATATTTTTTTATCCATGCATCAGAGAGGCTAGAGAGGCTAACATGCCTCATTTACACATGTAAAATCATCCCAGGATTTCTTTCACAGTTGTTGCTACAATGTCAAGTTGGGTTCACACAGAGGGGACGTAGTGTTCATAACATTTTTTCTATGGCTAAATTGTTATTATATGTTGCAGTTTTCTAATTATAACAACCAAACCCCCAGAGCAAACACACTACTGACCTATACTCTGTAAATATACCAAGATCTGACCCGGGCAGAGAACAAGAGGAGAGCCTGAGGGCTAAACTATTCAGACCATTCACCCACCACTTTCTGCCTCACTGATGATATATTATACAGCTCCAGTCGTATAGACAGAAAAGCTCGGACTAGCTTCTTTTACTCATATAACAGGCAGACTTATTGAAACAGCAAAATGGCCAGAAAAAATGTTAAAAAAAAACAAAAGAAAATTGTAAGAATGCAATGAATAAAACATTCTTGAGTTCATTAAATAGTCTGACATGATCAATCTTTACTCTCCGGAATATTAAAAGTTAAAGCAGCGAAGCAACTTTTACACATTTCCTTCAAAACACAGTCAATGTATCAATTTCTAAACTTGTTTTTATTTCATAGTTCATGTATTTTAATAAAGTCAAATTGGGTTTATTTCTCCAGCTCCAATTTACAGTAAGTGTTATCTTAAAGGACATCACAAAACCCTTTGAAAGACAAGACAAGTCACTAATTCACATCCAGAAATATATATTCCAGATCAGTCCAAAACAATCCCATCGTACAGACAGATTAACATTTTATTGGATCCATTTCACTTCCATCCTAGTTTAAAATCCTTTTCATGAGATGCTAGAGAAAATCCTGGAGCGATTGCAGCATGTAACCCATTACTCCACCTCCTTCACCTGCTGCTGCACACTACCTGTCAGCTGAGTAGTTAGAGGCTTGTACACTTTTTCCTTGCTTCCAAAAAAAACAAACTATTTTTGTTGTTTGCAAATATTGTCAAGAAAAACTCAAAAAGTGATAGCTTCAGTCTGTTAGGACAACACTGTTTTGAAACGGCAGCTATTAAACTACATGCGTCCTGTAGACTTATACAAACATGCATCACATTTTTCCGGTTGTCCACTTTGACTTTACTGTGCAGAGCAAAAAACTCAAACTAATGTTTCTAAAAATTGTAGAAATTTTATTTAAGTATTTTTTTCCAACTACTTTAATATGCAGTGTTTAATTTTAATACTACTCTGTATCAAAATCAAACTTCCTGATTTCCACTCGGGTTAAGCACAACGTTTGAGTGTGAGAAGAACAAGGCGATTTCCTGCTGACAGCAGCGCCTGCTGTGACAATATGGCCTCCCTGAATTAAAGCGTTCCCTATGGAGAGGCAGGAGGGACACACAGAGAGAAATCTGCTGTGGAAAATTACAGATAAGATATGGAGTAACTTACATTAGTAAAAAAAAAAAAAAAAAAAAATTTTTC